TACTATGGAGTTTTACCGAACTTTTATCTTTGAAGGGTAAAGAGGATCTAGGCGTGATCTTACCATCATATCATAACAAAAAAAATACTCCCTCTGTTTTTTAAAAGTTGTCGTTTTAACTATATTTGGACAAATTAAGAAAAGGTATACAATGACTATATTAACCTCATAAAAATGACAAGTAATTATTTACAAATAATTTCTGTTCAATAAAATGAGGGTAATTTGGGTAGTTATTGGCATAAATTACATTATTACCTTAAAACGACAATTAATTTAAAACAAAAAAAAAGCTCTAAAACGACAACTATTCGAAAACGGAGGGAGTATTATATATGAGTAGTTCCAAAGTTGTGTAACAAAAACATTATATGATGATGTTCTTTCACAAAGAAAATAAAATATACTCCCTCTGTTTCACGAAGAGTGTCATTTTAGAGTTTTGCACACAGATTAAGAAAACATTAAATTTTTTGTTTTTTCTAAAAAAAACATCATTAACTATATACTTAAACATAATCTGCCCAATAGTAAAACAATCTGCAGAATACTAAAAGTCATAAAACATATTCCCTCTGTTTCACAGAGAGTGTCATTTTAGAGTTTTGCACACATATTAAGAAAACATTAAATTTTTTATTTTTTCTAAACAAAAACATCATTAACTATATACCTAAACATAATCTGCCCAATAGTAAAACAATCTGCAGAATACTAATAGTCATAAAATATAAAAAATCATTAAATTTTGCATTGAAAACCTAAAACGACACTCTTTGTGAAACAAAAATAAATCCTTAAAACGACACTCTTTATGAAACGGAGAAAGTAAAAAATCATTAAATTTTGCATTGAAAACCTAAAACGACACTCTTTGTGAAACAAAAATAAAACCTTAAAACGACACTCTTTATGAAACGGAGGGAGTATAAATTTAAAATAAGAAAACTAGAAAATTTGAAAACATGAATGGGGAATAGTAGAGGTATGGGCCTTAGCAATAACTTTTTCGAAGAGCAAGTTGTAAGCTTTTTTATTATTATTCTTGTTCAATTATGAGATTCCAACTTTCACATTACTACACCATAGTGTGGTATCCTACATGTCTCTTATTATTTATTTTATTTTCATTTTTACAAAAAATGATTTGAATAAATTCCCATTAAAATAAAATGCAATGCCAATCATCCTCTGTATTTGTAAAAAAATTAAAAGAGAAATCTAACTAATGTGCAACTTACTGTTCAAAAACTTAACAAAACTACCACAAAACATAAATATTTCCAAATGTGTCATAATGGTGGACAATGTTTCTTGTCTACCCAAATTTTTGTATGTCGTTTCGAATTCTTGTCCACCAAAGTCTATTGTTTCAAAGGTGGACAAGATTTTTTGTCCTTCAAATATTTTTCTAATATGTTGTTTCAAAGGTGGACAACATTTCTTATCTAGTAAAAATTTTCGTTTCAAAGTGTTGTTCACCATTATGGCACATTGGAAAAGATTTATGTTTTGTGGCAATTTTACTAAGTTTTTTAACAGTAAATGACACATTAGACCAAAATCCCAAATTAAAACTTATCCTCTTTCTTTTATCTTTTCAATTGATTGGGATTAAGGTTCATAGAAAACAACATGTGTCATGAGAAAGTGAGTAGCATGTACTAAAATAAACTAAAACAAGACTATATATAAAAAACTAAAGTTGTATTCACATTGATGTAACTTGTGCTTCCAATATTCATACATCTGTAAAAAGTCAAATTTCTTTTAAGTCAGTTCCAGAGAAAAGTTTACATGTCGTACGAATCATAAATTCTAATGTATTGTGCCAAAAAAGAATTTTGCTTGGAAGTTTGCTCTGCCAAAACCCAAAAGAGAATTTTGCTCTTTACCTAAGACTTCGTTGTTTTCCTTTGTATATACCGTTATATTGACATGTTAATTTTATCCGATATCTCTAGTCGTATCTTTTAGGTGAAACAATCAGTATATAGAAAAATAAAGTGTCCAACAAAAGTGTACACATGTTTTTGTCCAACCCCATTACCAATATACGATTTGGATATCATCTAACTCACATTTGATGATAATAAAAAAAAAAGCAGATATTTATGGATTAAACATTTTAGACCTACCTTATCCCCCGAAAATTCTGGTAGACAATTTAAAAATGGATTGTATATATTGGGCTTTGATGGGCTATTCTTAAACTGAGCTTTTAAATTTGTCTCCCCTTCTGCTTAGTATATTGAAACTAGTAATTTTGACATTTTGTTCTATATACTTGACATATTTTCGTACACAAATTTCCTCATTTTTTTTCCTAAACAACAGCCATTCAGAAAATCTTTTTCTCGAGAAGATTTATTTCCCAATTTGAATCTAAACATAGATGGAGCACAACGACTTGGCATAATAGAGAGAAGGTTAGGAATCTAAAGCCCATGAAACAAAGCTAATCAATGTACCAAGCATCTACATTTTCATCTAAGACAAGCCCATTTTGGACCCAATTTTTTTATTTTAGCTTTCTGTTGCATTACTCTTTTCTTTTCTTCATCAATAAGAGAAATTCTGTGAAATAATACTTTCCATATCTTTTTGAGAAGTGGATACTTTCTCTTTCCCATACTCATAAACTTTTCGTCTTGTACTCTCCGCAGTCCTCAAAAACTTTACTTGCTAATCAAGAATAGAGAAAGGTGCACGAAACGAAACATACACAAGCGCACACAATATAACAAACACTAATAGGGTAACAGTCCTGACACGTGTAGGCATAATAACTGGTGGCTCGTATCTGCGGCGGTTGCAGAAACGATAAACACTCCACCACTAAGAGCATCTCCAATGGGAGAGAGCCCCCTATGGGTTCTCTTCCATTGTTTAATATAAATTTTGTAAAATTTAAGGTTGAAAATATTTTTAAGAGTTCTTAAATTTTTCTTCCTCCAATGGTAGGGTTCTCTTAAGAATAAATCATTCAAATTTTTGAAAAACAAGAAGTGTTGTGTATTTGTAAAACAAGAAGAAGTGTTGTTTGTGTCTTAGTAAAACAAGAAAAAATGTTGTGTCTTTGTAAAACAAGAATAATTTTTATTCTTGTTTTACAAAGACACAACATTTTTTCTTGTTTTATTTTGTTGTATTTTGTATTTTGATATAACAAGAAGAAGTGTTGTATCACAATATAATTAGATTTGGTATATTTTCTTGTCTTGAATACTTCATCCGAAAATTGTGATGCATGTCTTTAAAAACTTCAGTATGTTTGAAGTATTGGTATCACACAAAAATCAGAATTTGGCATTCAATTATGCCATACGTTACCTTCTTTAATATATTTTCATATTAATAAACCTCTCAAGCATTTACGTGGTCATCCCAAGCATGATCCTTGTTGTAGATGATGGCAGCTCCGAGACTCCTGGCCGGGTTAATGCTGGTTCCAGTGATTGGGATGGTAGCCAAGTGTACCAAGAAGACAGCAAACCCAATTGGAAGCGGCACCAAGATCTGCAAAATGTTCGATAACCAAACAAACACATGAGTTCTCTGCCAAGAACATAACTCAACCCAATTCAAGGATACTAGAGAGTTAGCAACATACAGGGACATGAGACTCTCTGGCACTTCTCTTAGCATCAGTAGCTGAGAAAACAGTGTAAACCAGAACAAAAGTTCCAATAATCTCTGCACCAAGACCTGAACCCTTTGTATAACCATGAGCCACCACATTAGCTCCACCGCCATTCGCCTGGTATAGCCCTGGTTGAAACCCTTTAACCACACCAGCACCACATCTTCTATTAGTATCACCAAGCCAAAATAAGGATCTCAAGCACCGGTTTCTACATTTATCATGTAAACAACACTAAAACTTGCTTCTACTTTTTTCAACCTAATCCATCCTGCAGAAAGATAACTATATGTATAATGAACATATCCAATTCCAAACTAATCCTCCTAAAATCTAATCCTACACGACACAAGAACGCCCTTCACCACTAAAAACCAAGACAGAGCTCGATTCTTACATGCTAAGTTCATGTAACACCACTAAATCTTATATGTATATTATTCACTAAATCTTATATGCATAGAACTTGGTAAATCTTATATGCTAGGTTCATGTAACACCACTAAATCAATAAGTTCACTCTCTCACAATGCTAACTTCTTCCTCCACGCTGCCGCAACAACATTCAATTTCTCCTTCTATTTGATTACTCTTTTCTTGCCACTATTGATGTTCAGCCAAGCTAATCTCAAGCTTACCTCTAACCTTGATGCTGCTCTGCTTCTTTTTCCCCGGATTTACTCAGCTAACAATCAATGCTATAACAAACAATCAAGGAAGATTTACCTTCATTGATGACAGAAGCCTCCTCCTTTTGCAGTTGATCCTTAACGGCTTGATTTATACATGCAACAAGAAATTGAAGCTTCCTTGATCGATTTCTCGCCGAATCGGATTAGCAAATCTCCGATTAGGTTTATCTTTGTTCGCCGATGTAAGTCTCTTATACCACGATAACACACGACGGCGTTGAGTACCGGAAAACCACAAATCGCCGGTTGCGTCGAGAGAGAGAGAGAGTCGTGCGTTTAGCGGAAGAAAAATAAAATAAAAGTCAATTTCCTTTTTTTGTTTTATTAAAAGTAAACGTCCAATCATATGTCGACATGTGTCCGGCTCTCTCACAATCTCAAAACTCTCTTGAGAGAGGCGATTCTCTTGATTTTATTCAGTTTATATTTATTTTTAATCAACTAATTCAAGAGAACTCTGCAAATTTTGGAAGAGAACCTCCTGTTGAGATGCTCTTATGAGTGTTCACGCGCAACTTCTACGCTGACGTGTCAACATATAATTGGATATTTGGTCTTGATGGAGATAATGGGCGAGTGGGGTAGTGGATCACGTGACATTCGCAGTCACAACTCGCGTGATAACTGAAAAAATAATAATTAAAAAAAAGAGAGGATATATTTGTCTTTCTCTAATGTTTTCTTAAACATCTGTAACGTCAAACCAACTTTTTTTTTTTTTTTTGCTTACTCTCAAAGAAATTTCTTCAATCTCTCGATTTTCATGGCAAGAAATCATCAGTCTCGTGAGGATTTTGAAGAAATGGGGTTTCGTTCTCGTTCTCGTTCTCATCTGTTCCTCAACGAGTTCGAAACGTCTGTCGGAGGATTCTACTCTCTCCGCCGTAACCACCGTGACCATCCGTACGTTTCCGACGCTGTGGACACACTCTCTGATCAGTTCTCTTCCATGTCTCTTCTCCGTCCTAAACCCAGACCGATTCCTGCTTTATCTTCGAGTCTTCAGGTGATTTCCTTTTTCCTCTGTTTCATTACTCTGTTACACATTTTCTTCACAAACTTCATGTTCTTGTTTTGGTGTGGCTTCTTCAGTCTTCTTTAAGGCTTAATGGTGTTAAAGCTGATCAGAGATTGTACCGAGAAAGGCTCAAGCTTGAACCGTTTTATGAACTTCATCTTTCAAGGATCCGCAAAAACGAGGTGATAAAAATGCAAACTTTATCACTCTCTTTTGGCTCTCGTTTATGCATCTTTTGATTTATTTTGCTTGTGTGTTGTTTTGCAGTCACAACAAGACAGAGCTAAGGTTTTACAGAGACAAGAGGCACGGCTAAACAAGAGAGGTTTGGCTCATCGAAACGGTAACGTTTTGAAGGAATCTGTAGGAACCGGCGTTTTCCACCCTCTTCAGCGTCCAACTTTCAAGACTTGTGACTCTGTGAAGAAACATAGTAAGCGACTTCACTTGTCTTTTACCAAAACCTTCTTTTTTTTTTATGTTATAAGTGATGTTTGGTTTGGTTTGTTTTCTAGTAGAATGAAAACTGAGACTAGTTCTTTGCATGTTTTTGGTTAGTACACGAAAATAAACAGAATCTTACCTTTTTTGTTTACTTGTCGAAAACAGATCAAAGGAATCGGAATCAAAGTGAGAAGGAGTTGTTGACAAAAGAAAAAAGAGGAGTAATGACTACTACAACGCAGGAGCAGCAACAGAAGGAAGAGTGTCACTATCATTTGCCTTCAGACATGGATTTCTCCAAGGACTGGACTTTCTGATGGAACAAGTTCAAGTAGTTACTTAATTATTAGATCTTTTGGGTATTAAGTAGTATTAACTAGGAGGTAAATAATAATTAGGGACAAAGTTTGAAGATGAACAAGTGGATGAAGTGTTATTTCAAGGTCTAGATACCTTTTTTAGTATGAACTAGTTTTTGGGTCAAACAGTTTGTGTCTCTTATCTCAATTTCAGAATTGTACTTAACGGCGAAAAGGAGACAACTTTGACAATGTTGAGTTTACACTGATCCTATGGTGGTGGGCTAAATCAAAACTTCCCAGTTCCCATTATAGCATCATCTTATGGTGGTGGGCTAAATAAAAAATCTCATCTCAGTTCCTATTGGGCCATATATGTTCCTATATCCAAAAGAATTGGAGTTGGTTTTCTTTTCTGTTTTCAAAAGAATTTTCATGGTCACAAAACAAAATTTCTTGACCATGGACTATAAATTACTTTTTCTTTCTAAAAGATTGATTTATAAAATACACATTAATAAACATTTAATACTGTTTTGCATTGTAGTGGCTATCCTAGAAAAAGAGTCATATATATATATATATATATATATATTTCTACGCAACTTTCTAATCTCTATGCTAGTTCACACAAATTGTTTTAAGAACCAAAGAGCCAAATATGAGATAGTATAGGCATGGGCGTTTAATCCGAAATCGAAAATCCGAACCGAAAAAATCGGATTAAAATTCGAACCGTATCAGACAGATTAACCGATCGGTTATTGATTTCTCTATCCATGGATATCGGATAATACCCGATCCGATCCGATATCCGACAGATAATCCGAACTCTCCTCTACAAGTTCTAGAACCTTAGTCGTTCCTTGCAATGATCCATTTCTCTTATCTCGATTTTTCTTCCTAGCAATACGTGATCCACTTCCCTAATCTCGATTTCCTAGCAATAGGGGATCCACTCCTCTACCATATAAGCATAAAACCCTAATCTTTCAATATTGAATCCCTAATCTCTCTTTCAAATATTAATTATCCTAATCCCTAATCTATTTATGGTTTCATGTTAGTTCAACTAGTTCAGTTTTGTTTCCGATATTTCGGATTATTTTTAGATTTTTGGTTAAATCGGATATTGAATATCATATCTATACCGATCTGAAATCCGAAATATCCAAACCGAAACCGATCCGAAGTCTATAACTATCCGTATGGATATTAGAATCTATATCAAAAAAACCGAATTCCGAAAAACCCGAACCGAATCCGATCCGATAACCGAACGCCCAGGATAGTATTTGAATATTGATATTATCAACTATACTAGTGCAACCTATGTAAACATTTATCGTTTGAACATTATATTTCGTTTCGAGTGTTGATGTCAAATGCTGATTTTGGACCCATCAATACTTATCGAATGAAAATATTTTCCTAACTCCAAAGTAAGATACAAAGAAAAGTCATTTAGTTGAATGAAAATAAACGAACGTCTCTAATCTTATATTCGTTTTCTCTTTATCAATAAAGAAAATTCTTTTATTTCTTTCTCTTCATATATATTGGCAGTCAAAGGCATTTGTCGAGGAAAACAATATTCAATGGAGGAGAGAATGACAATTGAAAATACTCGTAACACTTTTAACAGGTTTCCGGGGGAAAGAAAAGCAGAATTTTACCATTTTACACCGGGGAGAAGATCGGAGAACCTTTGTTTGGGAAGGGTAATTTCGTTCTTTTAGTAATCATCGTTCAATATGCACACATAAACATGAATTTCTTGCAATTAATTAATTACTAGCTGATACAATTATGGGGGAATCTTGCACCCTCTTAAACGAAAATGGTGGGGTTACTGGGGTTGATGAAGCCACACTAAAAGTTAAATAGCATAAACTTTAAGAATGTTGATTTATGTCCACTCCTTTGTTCCCTACAAACTTTTATCCATACATAGTGTATGATATATTTGTTACATAATTGAGTTAACAGTTAAAAACTCATTCATCCGTACACATTTACTTTCTCCATGTAACTTTTTGAATGCAAAGTTGCAAACTATCAAATTAGATAATCACATTATTTCTTCGGAGAAAAAACTATCACAAAGAAGTTTGATTAGTAAATCTATATTATTCATTACCTAAAGACTAAGCTAATTGTGGATTAGAAAGATCAACGTGCACAAAGGCACAAAACTTTACCACTTCTAATTATCAATATAAATACTAATCATAGTCTCACTCACTCTCTCCATCACACATACATCTTCTCCATCCATTACACAACGAAGCATAGTGGCAAAGCCGTAAATACATAATACCAATGTCCAAAGATTGCGGGAACCACGGCGGCGGCGGCGGAGGAGGAACCGCCAGTCGAATCTGCGGAGCAATCATTGGCTTCATCATCATCGTCTTGATAACAATCTTTCTCGTTTGGGTAATCCTCCAACCGACAAAACCAAGATTCATCCTCCAAGACGCCACCGTCTACGCCTTTAACCTCTCGCAACCTAACTTACTCACCTCAAACTTTCAGATCACAATCGCTTCACGCAACCGAAACTCCAGAATCGGAATCTACTACGACCGTCTTCACGTCTACGCTACTTACCGGAACCAGCAAATCACTCTACGTACAGCCATTCCTCCGACGTACCAAGGGCATAAAGAAGACAACGTTTGGTCTCCTTTCGTATACGGAAACTCCGTCCCTATCGCTCCTTTCAACGCGGTGGCCCTTGGCGACGAGCAAAATCGCGGGTTTGTCACGTTGATTATACGCGCCGATGGACGCGTGAGGTGGAAGGTCGGGACTCTTATTACAGGGAAGTATCATCTCCATGTTCGTTGTCTCGCGTACATAAATCTGGCTGATAAAGCCGCCGGAGTTCATGTCGGCGAAAACGCCGTTAAGTACATGTTGGTCAATAAGTGCAGTGTCAATGTTTAGGAGGTAATAAAAGGACACAACTTTGACGCCGTTAAAGTTTGCTTTTACTCTTCCTTTTACTCGGATTATATCGTGTAATTTGTCAATCTTTTCTTTTCTCGTAATTTTTTTTTTTGAATCTGCTATAACGATATGTCACATAAATTTCTGGAATATATATTTTTCTTCGTTGATCGTAGATCTGAAATGTGCGAAATTAATTTCAAAAGTAGAATGTGAGGAGGAAAATGATTGGAGGAGATAAGAAGGTTTCAACTTAAAAAAAAAAAAAGGTTTCAACTTTTCAAGTAATATCAGATTCGAAAACAAATACTATACGAATTATTTGGAGGGGGCAATTAAATTAGCTTTATTCTTGTACTGTTTTTATTATCGGTTGTCATTTAATGATCTTGGGATGTCGGCACATTGTCAAATACTCAAATGGTCAAGTAACTAAGTAAGGATCACATGTGAATAGAAAGAACTAGGGAGTTTAACATGGGCTTGAATCTGCGGGCCTAAACGGATTCTTAAAAGGTTGGACTTCACAAATTTTAGAAATCTTCACAAATTATCAATTGATGACCTTCCTAAGCGACTTTAACATTTCAACTCATTGTATCATAATATGACATTAGATATTAGAGATTTAGAGAGTGAAATTGAGTACTTAAGCGTACTTAACAAATCCTATATTTACAAAATAATTGTTGTCTGTTTATTTTTTTTTGTCAATAACTCTAGAAATTATTCAACTTTCAATTATATCGACCAAAACTGCTTAGAAAACCTGCATGATGTAAGCTTATGATATAAACGTTCATCCTAAAATCATAATTTGAAATATATGAATTCATGTAGAAGAACTGACCAACTAAAAACCCGAAAAAGATTTTTTTTATTATTGTATAAAATTGTTCAAATTTATCTCTACTAAAGCTTTAACATTAAGAAAAAAAATGATTTTTTTTGGTTATTCACCTAAATCACCCAAAACAAAAGGAAAATTGGCAAAACTAACCAACAAAAAAACTTTAATTCAATAACTAACCTCTAACCCCCCTATTCACTTTCTTTCTCTTCCTATCTCTCTCTACCTTCTTTCTAAAAAACTAATTTTTTTTTTTTTTTTGGTTATTCACCTAAATCACCCAAAACAAAAGGAAAATTGGCAAAACTAACCAACAAAAAAACTTTAATTCAATAACTAACCCCTAACCCCCCTATTCACTCTCTTTCTCTTCCTATCTCTCTCTACCTTCTTTCTAAAAAACTAATTTTTTTTTTTTTTTTTGGTTATTCACCTAAATCACCCAAAACAAAATCAGACATATTATGGTGTTAAAAAAAAAAAAAGCAAAATCAGACATATTATGTTGACACAGGCGTCCCTAGCTTCTAGAACGGTATAATAATGACCACCGTACGAACTACGACGAGAGACCAAAAAGTAAAACTTACAATTATGATCTTACATAAAATACTCGTTATTGGAAGTTATGGGGCAACATCACAAGCCTACAATTGCATAATATTCTTTCGTCAAATATTCAATCAAATTACCGCGTAACGTGACATTACTTTAATCTAATAAGTTGACCAACGCATAGATGAAAGTGTATATAAAGAGGACTTACATCAACCTCTTAGCCATATATCCATTCATTCCAATTCTCCACAAAATTACTATCATGGCTGCTGAACAACCTCTCAATGGCGCCTTCTACGGTCCATCAGTCCCACCACCGGCTCCCAAAGGCTACTACCGACGTGGGCACGGTCGCGGCTGTGGCTGCTGCCTCCTCAGCTTATTCGTCAAAGTCATCATATCCCTTATTGTCATCCTCGGCGTAGCCGCTCTCATCTTCTGGCTCATCGTCCGTCCTCGTGCCATCAAGTTCCACGTGACCGATGCGTCCCTTACCCGCTTTGACCACACTTCCCCCGACAACATTTTAAGGTATAACCTAGCACTCACTGTCCCTGTACGTAACCCTAACAAGAGGATCGGAGTCTACTACGACAGAATCGAAGCTCATGCTTACTACGAGGGAAAGAGGTTTAGTTCCATCTCGTTAACTCCTTTCTATCAAGGACACAAAAACACAACCGTTCTCACACCAACGTTCCAAGGCCAAAACCTTGTTATATTTAACGCCGGACAGTCTCGGACTTTGAACGCGGAGAGGATCTCCGGTGTGTACAATATAGAGATCAAGTTCAGGCTTAGGGTTAGGTTTAAGCTTGGGGACTTGAAGTTTAGGAGAATTAAGCCTAAGGTTAATTGCGATGATCTAAGGCTTCCTTTAAGTACCTCCAACGGAACTACAACCACTTCTACCGTTTTCCCTATCAAGTGCGACTTCGATTTTTGAGTCTTAGAATTTTATCCTCTCCCATTCCATCATATATTGGTTCGTTCATTTTTATTTTATTTTCTAATTGCGGCACTATACGACTTATTTTCTATATAGCCTATTGTATACATTTGTCCACATTTATAAATAAAACAGTCTTTTATGTAATTGATATATACTAGCCCACATGCTGACCCGAAAAATATGTGGCGGTTTCAATCCTATAGTAACATATAGTACAATTTACGAATAGTGTTTGACAAAAATGAATTAATATGTCATATGAGTGCGTAGTCGACTAATCTATTCCATTTGGTGCTATATGTCACAATGGCAGCATGGTTTGCCCCACGTGCCAAAAAATATCAAAAGCAAATAAAAAAAATCGTCTACAAAAATAAATATCATCGTCAAAAAACAAAAACAAATAAATAGACTAAACTAGCAAACAAAATATTAGTTTTAAAATATTTTTCTTTCATCTTTTTCTACAAATCGCTAACAAAATTTTTAAAATCAGCGTTTCTAACCAATTATCTTTCGATGGAAAAAATAGCAAAGTTACTCAATTTTTCTTGTAACATACTCAAACGAAGATACGATTTGATCAACTTCAGCTTTGAAAAACTTATTTCAGCATATGAAACCAAAACCAAAATCGTCAATAGTATTCGATAAGCTACCCATGAGTTTGGATAAACAGTCTTCAATATCTTAATTATTTTAAGTAATCGTTTGTTTTTTTAAAGACTTAAAGACTATAAGTACTCTTTGTGTTATTTATTCTATACAATATCAAAATTAATCATGTTCATCTTCTCTTTTCAATATGTATTGACTGATGGCTTTATGGGCTTCGAATTGGGCCTTAGTCGCGTACTCTCGCATTTTTGTTTTCTCATAATTTTTTCTGGTTTGTGATCTTTCACTTTTATGAATATAATGTTAAAGCCCTGTGTCGCATGTGATTTTCTTTTTTGAATAATGTTAAATTATTTAAAGAAGAAAAAAATATTTATATATTTTAATGCATATTTTTTTAACTTCTAAGAAGAATCTATCCTTAGTTTTGTCTTGTTGCGAACTATGTCTGAATACCACCAGCGAAAACAAAGTGTGTTGTGTGTGATCTTTCACTTTTCAACTTTACACTAGTCTCGATACTTAGATTTCGGGTAACTTTGAATCTAGTTAACTTAGTTATTAAAACGGATAATATAAATACATCAGGGTAAATGTGAATACATTTTAACTCATTTCAATGAGCACCAAGATTCATAAAGATTGTGAAATAATCAACTTTTGATAAGACTTACAAGAAGAATGGTACACTAATTGATTACTCAAGCGAAGTTGCGGAGTGAAATCGCTTTTCTCCATAGCATAATTTACAACAATCTCATCAACGTGAGCTCATGCCACCAATGGCAATGTAGCATAATGGGATTTCATAACTTTGACCATGGATTCTAAAATCGTGTAACCTTCCTCTACAAGGCCTGGATGACTGCAAGTTGTCAACAATCAAATGAATATCACGTTGTCTAGTTTAATCCCTAAGATGCTTCAGGGCCCCCTGTTTCTTTCCCCGTTAACGTTTTCGGTTGCGGCTACAACAACGGAGGTACCTTCGACGAAACTGGTTCTGGGATCATCGGTCCTGGTGGCTGTCATTTCTCACTAATCTCCCAGCTCAGTTCGTCGATTTCGAAGAAATTCTCTTATTGCTTGTCTCACAAGTCAGCTACCACGAATGGCACAAGCGTCATAAACCTAGGCACCAACTCGATTCCTTCAAGTCTAAGCAAAGACTCATGTGTGATATCGACTCCATTGGTCGATAAAGAGCCTCGTACACACTACTACTTGACGCTCAAGCTTAAAGCCCTCCGACGGGAAGAAAAAGATTCCGTACACCGGAATGAGGTAGTCTGACATACTAACTGTATATGATTAGCTTCTTTGTGATGTGCATTTAATCAAAATCACTGAATTAGAGAGTAATCTGCACATTGCGGCTAATCCGCATCCATAACACATGAAAAGGGAAGAAGTAGATATAGTGTCAGTCACATAAGTGACGTTGGCTCAATTTTGCATAGCTTCGGAAAAAAAAACACAAAGTAATTAGAGAAAAGCCCCAAATTATCAATTCATGGGACCCGACACTTGCATCGGTTACACACGGAATTTTTGTCTGCTCATCTAAATCTCGGTGATCATATCAGAGTCATGAGTTAAACTTTGGATATCTCCACCTTAATCCAATACAGATTCTTTTTGAGAACAGGATATGTATAATTAAGTTCTGTCTTCTTACTTATATCATTTTCCTCGACCATGGTTGAACAAATACTATTCTATTCTAAGATCGGCATGGTTTCAGAATTTTTGACTTTATTTCCACCAGTTTCTTGAAATTATTAGACTTATTCAATTTTACTAACGATCCAATTGCGAGCTTTTTCTTTTCTTTTCTTTTTGTAACGATCCAGTTGTACGTTTACTTAATTGTCATGACTAATGCCGTTGAATTATTATTTTAGCTACAGATATGAAAGCAAAAGATTCTAGAGATTTGGTGACTAATAACAAGTAACATATCTGATACGCATAGTGACCAATTCTTCAATCAAAGATATTGTTTAGTTATTCATACATTTAATTAAAGAATCATAAGAAGGAATTAACGGAATCGAATCTGTGAGGTGGACACTTGTCCGATTATCCTCTGGTCATTTTCAAATTCCGATCTCAATGTCACAATTTTACTAGTATAATTGTTCTTAAATTAAAGAATGGATTGAGTTAAGGTTATATAGAAATGACTATATGATCTTTGGCTACATATTGAACTTGCTTGTATTAAACCTGACATATGTAAAAAGATGTCTCGTTGAAACATAATTTACCATATGCCGTGCCATTGTATAGAGGGTTTTCTACCACATTAAAAAAAAAAAAAACGCAGCAAACTTCTTGAAACAAACTCGCAAGCATCCACCAAACTAGTCCCTTTCATTACGAAGAAACCATCCTATATGGTTCTGCTATTTACTACAATTCTGCCTAATCTAGCGACCTGAAGCAAGTTGATTATACTTATTTTCTGTCCGTTGCTATAAAGAAAGTTGCCATCGTGTGTCCTCACCTTGTAAAAGTGATATGCCGTTGTACTCAACATTTTTTTAAAAAAAGTTTGATATATATTAACAAAAAAATATAATAAATATATATCAAAAGAAAACTAAACTAAAATTCATTTTAAAATATACATATTGGCTGTTATAATAGTTATAAAATTTCTATTTTGAATAGTTATATGGAGTTGTATATATATTTCAAAAAAATTAATATCCATCAAGAAATAGGAAAGTAGAAATTGCACATTCCCATGAGGGGGCTACATCTTGTCAATAGACCACTTAAGAGTTCTATGTTAGCGAAGTAGAATTTAAAAACTTTTTTTTTGTGAAATTAGAATTAAATAAAAACATTAAAACCATATATATATTTTTTTCATAAAATTTTGTTTTAGTGCTATCCTAAAGTATTTCTCTATTTTTAACTAAGAAATTTTTTTTGGTCGGAATTTTTACTAAGAAATATTTATTATGTTCGTTGGTTAAAGTAATTTCCTATATTCTTAATTAAAGATTCTTATTTTTTTGTTTGTAATGTAGTACATATTCTAACATAGATTGTAAAGGAAAAAAGCTGTCACAATCTACGGGATCCAATTATAAGGTAAACTAACGCAAATTAATATATAGAACATAGCCAGCCTTACCTGGATTGTTAAGCCAAACAAATCTGTATACTTTTTTATAATAATAATCTCTATACTTCTTCTTCTTCACATATCTATCTATATATAAATAAAAAGTTGAGAAAGTGACAGAACCAAAAAAGAAAGAAAAGAAGGAAAAAGACAGAAAGAGAGAGATAATGGAAGAGACAAAATCAAGATTCAGGAGGATCTGTGTCTTCTGCGGAAGCAGTTCCGGCAACAAAACCACTTATCACGACGCTGCTCTCCAACTCGCTCACCAACTGGTTTCTCTCTATTTCCACATTTAATCCTTATTTAAATAACTAACTAATTAAAAAGAACACTCTATTACGTTAACAGATTTCGGTTTTTAACTAGTATTTCGTTACATGCCAAGTCTTTTCGATATATACAACTATACAAGCTTGTGTGGTATGTATAGAAGTGTGGTATGTATAGAAGTTCGTACGATATATACGTAAAACATATATCCATAGTAGATAATCGAGCATATCTATAATTAAGTACTCGATGTGTATGGAAAATTACCTATCATGTCATTGTGTTTGTTCATACCAAAAATAAAAAATCATTGTGTTTGTGTAGTTGTATTTTATCGTATCTGTTAAGGATGAAATTTAGTAATTTACTTCCTACATACAACAGAAGTCCACCATGCTTAATCTTTGTGTTAAAGAATATATATGGATAAATTAATAAACTCATCTAATTGTAAGATGTATATAGTTAAGGTTCATAGAATAACTAGTACTTGTTTAGTCACTAGTAAGTAATAACACACATAAATGTGAAAGGTGGAAAGAAACATCGATTTGGTGTATGGAGGGGGAAGCGTGGGGCTAATGGGTCTCATTTCTCAAGCTGTTCATGATGGTGGTGGTCATGTTCTTGGGTATCTATCTCTCTCTATAAATAATTTCTAAACAATAAAAAATTTAAAGGTCTTAGTTTATCTATACATTCAAAGCGACACTGCATCATTCTTTTTTTGTTATTCCATGTTCTTGTCCTGTCTTTCAAATGGGTAACATTATCATAAATAGTAATTTGCTTCAAAATATATACTTGTAAATTAATTCCTTGCGTTTATCAAATATTTCTATTTTTATTTTCTTTGGTAAAATCTAAGGCCTAAGGGGGACAAGGCAACTGTTTAATTAGTTCTACTTAAACATATACTAATAATAATTGAACTTTAGGTTCAAAGAAATTTGAACCTTGAACCGAAAGGATAAGAATCTTTGACCATTACAAATTAAGGTGACTCGAAATAAGTGATTTTATATACTATTTCTAAGTGATAATTATTTACATAATTAGATGTTGATATTATGCGCAGGATCATTCCGAAGTCTCTAGCACCAAGAGAGGTATTTACAAATCCACTATACATTCTAACTAGCAGTGTATTAAAAATTCATTCTGTGTTGTCCAAATTAAAACATGTTTATGATGGTATTTACAAATTAACTATATTTTTAGTAAATATGTACATGTGAATTAAAACATAATTATGATGGATGTGATAAAATGATGTTGGATTTAGATAACCGGTGAATCAATAGGAGAAGTTATAACAGTATCGACTATGCACCAAAGGAAGGCTGAAATGGTTCGCCAAGCGGATGCCTTCATTGCACTTCCTGGTTTGTCGTTTTTTTCTTCTTCTTTTTCAATATATGTATTTTGTAAAGAATGAATGATTAAAGATGTCTATCTATCTAAGATCATGAAGGTTGATAAAATAACTTGTGTGGTGTTATTTTACAAACAAAATAGGTGGATATGGGACATTTGAAGAGTTGTTGGAAGTCATCACTTGGTCTCAACTTGGGATCCACACTAAACCGGTAATTCAATTAAACTCGTTTAGATATGAATACATACCTGGATATTCGTGATAGTAAATACGGTTATCCCTACAAGTAGAGATGTTGTTATGTATTTATGGATGGAGAAAATAGAAATTTTCCTGATGAATCTACACAAATATATAAGAAAAAGCAAATTTCTTTATTGGTTATATAACTTATTTATGTGTCATGTGTGGGAAGGGAATCTAAGCATATGGGTTGAAGTCATATATTCACATGGAATAATGTCTTAACTCAAAGATTAAATAAAAAAAAAATCTTAAGTAAGGTTGTGAAAAACTTCATTATAATGTTAGTAATAATTATTAAGTACTCTAAAATCATATCGTACGTACTATATACTAAATACTGTAAATACTAATGCATATAAAAATTGATTAAAACATGTAAGATACAAACGAAGACATCTATATGCATGGTCAAAAAAATGGGAAAACAGAGAATGTTAATTAAGTATATACATAATGTGAAGTTAAAAATGCAGGTGGGACTATTGAACGTGGATGGATTCTACGATTCACTATTGACGTTTATAGATAAGGCAGTGGACGAAGGCTTCGTCTCCTCCACCGCTCGCCGTATCATCGTCTCTGCTCCAAACGCTCCTCAATTACTTCAACTTCTTGAGGTTTTTTTTTTCTTTTTTGTCTTTCATTAAGTTTTGATTATTCTATTTAATACTATAGACTAAATGTATGAATCCCAAAATACGATAAGAAGATTAATTAATTATTTTTTTTTATCAAAAAAAAAAATTAATTAATCTTCTTTAAAAAAAACTAATTAATTGATCTTCATGTTTGTAATTGCAGGAGTATGTTCCAAAACACGACGATTTTGTATCCAAAATGGTGTGGGACGATACTACGGATGCTTTCACTTTGGAAGGCGACTCATTTTAGCTATATTAGTTCATTCGTATCTTAGTCTACTTTTATTGTATTTTATAGAAACTCGTTTCTTATTGGCCATTATTCAAAATTTTGATTTTTGTATTAATTTATTTTTATCTTATATTTGTCATATAACTTTTCGTGTTATTTATAAATCTTTGCAATGACTTCAAGCAAACTTTGCATTGTAGCTTGCATTTATTATCCATGTTTACTTAATCCACCGTCAGGGGGTGCCCATTCAGAATGAAATTAAACATCACTTATGAGATCATATTATGTAAAATTATTAAGGCCTAATGGCCCAATGCCCATTTGGGTTGATTAATAATAATAATAATAATAAAATGATATTAAGGTCTTTTTACGAATGATAGCATTTCGTAATTGTTTGGGACTTGATAGTTTTTGATGTAGTGCACTAGTGGTGATTGGTGAGCATTTCATAACTGATTTGCATGAATTCAAGTTTAATTAGAGATATCTTTATATATATATATATATATATATATATATATATATATATATATATATATATATTTAATAAGACTAATTATGTAAAGTTTTTTTTCTAATAAAAACTTAGACTAGTTATGTAAATATTTTTCTATATATTTATATTTAGTTTTTTTTCAGTATTTTTGTGTGTCAACCAAATTAAAAAAAAATGGTTTATCGATTCAAAAAATTACACATATTATTGTATATGTTTAAACAAATAAAAATGGACCATTTTTTTTATTCGTCAGGGGCATCCAAAATGGTAAAAATAATTTTGTCCCCCATGTATTGAGCTTATACAACAATGGAGCTTGCCAAAATCGAATTACTTACAAACCATATGATCACATAATGCACAAAAAATAACACAAAATCCGTAAAGCATCGACAAACACAATCCATATATTTTCCGCAATGAAATCCAAGCACTTTCATGTTTTGCAACTAATTCGGTAATTCCAGTCATAAGATAAAATTAAAACATATACGGCCCAGTGGGCTTGACAGAAAAGAAAAAAAAAATAAGACAACCATTCTACAATTTTGTCAAATTTGAAATTTCGATTGGAAAAAACCGGTTGAATTCCAATTTAAACCGGATCAATCAAGATATGGTAATCTCCTTCTCCTTCTCCAAAATCACAACTCTGTTCCAAGTCTTATCCTTTCATCATCACTTACCTTCTTCACACAGAGAGCTTCATCGAATCGAATTCATCCATGTAATGTGAGATGTCTCTTGAACAATGCAACAAGAAGCTCTCTCTTTCCTCTCTTCTTCCTCCTCTTCCTCTTTCCCTTCCCTTCACCACAATTTTCCCACACTTTCTCGCCTCCGCTTCCACAATTTTCCCGCACTTTCCTTCAAACCAAACACTTCTTCTTCATCACTCTTCAAATCCCCAAATATCCCCTCTCTCTCCTCCACCACAGCAACCACCGAAACCCTAGAATCCTCAATCCACGAGAAACTCATTTACCTCGATTCACTCGGAATCGATTTCTTAACCCTAATCAACCGTCATCCTCCTCTCCTCTCCACCGCTCTCTCCGCCGTTGAATCCGTCGTCGATTACATGACCACTCCACCAATCAACTTCACCTTACAAGATTTTCGCCGCCTCGTCTCCATGTGTCCCGAGCTTCTCACTTCACCGTTAACCTCACACACAATCCCAGTCATCACTTTCCTCCTCCGTGAAGTCGGCGTTGACTCTATCTTTGACCTCCGTCAAGCTTTACGTCGTCGTCCTCGTCTTCTCGCTTGTAGCGTCGATCACCAGCTTCGACCAACGCTTTACTTTCTCCAGAGAATCGGAATCTTAGATCCGCATAAACATACGTATCTTCTCTCTTGTAGCGTTGAACATAAACTCGTACCACGGATTGATTTCTTTGAGAAGTTAGGATTCTCGCGGCGGAGCGCGACCGCGATGTTTAAGAGATTCCCGCAGCTGTTTAATTACAGTATTGCTGAGAATTATGAGCCGAAGTTGAAGTATTTGATGGTGGAGATGGAGAGAGATGTTAGAGAGGTTCTTGAGTTTCCTCAGTATTTTTCGTTTAGTTTGGAGAATCGGATTAAACCGAGACATGAAGCTTGTGCGGCGAAAGGTGTGAGGTTTCCATTGCCGGTGATGTTGAAGACGAATGAAGCTGGTTTTAGAGATACATTGGAGGTATGTTGTGATTCTTCTCCGCCATTGAAGACATCTCGCCTTGTTACTGTACAAAAGATTCTTGATTTATAGAGTTTTGTGTGCTAGGAACTTGGAACATGGAAGCAAGTGAGTGAGAGTTTCTTGCTTTTTGTTGTTGTTGTTTTGTTTATGGGGTTGGAGAATTGGTGAGAATTGATGGGGTTTGCTTTGTTTTAGGTACATTTTTGTAATGAATGATTCTGGAGGAACTCAAAGAATGAAGAAACCGGCCTCTGCCTACATTTTTTTGAGACACAGAGAGAGCGAGGGAGATGGTGAAATTGTATCTTTGATAGGAGAAAGAGTGTTCATTTACAATAGAATGTCAAATCTCGATTCCGATGTTTTTTCGGTCTACTTATCGTTGTGACCAAGCAATCAAGTGTATGTAAGTCCAGAAACCGTGTAGAGTTGCGATTTGCAGAGAATTGTGAATTCTACAATTGGAGGCAGGATGATGAATGTGTGAACTGATTTGCGTAACGGTTTAGTGATTGGTCTTTAAGTCTTAACAGGGACATTTGGATCTAGAGCTTTAGTCCTTTGATGGTTCGTGAATCACTGAATCTTGCCACTGGTCTATGGGGCTTAAATCCGTTTTTATTGGGCTTCAACTATACATTCTCTCGGGCCAAATGGGGGTATACACTCGTAAGAACATAAACGAAAGGTACAACATTACCTCACACTCTCTAAGTGAACCGTTTTTATTGTGACCAGTAATAAGCTAACGCAGGACAAGAAAAAAGCGGTACGAAAACTTTGCCACTTTAGGTCTCTACCATTTTCTATTTACCTTTTCTAATAACTATTTTGTACCACTTATTACCGTTCTCATTTGTCATTAAAAATCTCTTACCAATTTATGTCATCAAATCATGTGCAATATCTTAGTCCTCCAAATAGTGAATTTAATTATGAATCCTTCCTCAAGTGATTTTAGACTTAATCTACACTTCGCATCAGTTTTCCACTGCCAAACAACAACCACTAATCAATACAAAAAGATAAAAATAAAAATAATATTATTACGCATATCATAACGGAAACAGCAGCACATGTACTATAAACAAATTCTATCCCAATCTATTTGCAGAAATCTGTTTACCGACTACACCCCTTTAAATAAAAATTTCAGATTCAAAATACAAGTTCTAGATCAAATATCAGTATCTATGCTTCACCATTATAAAGAACACAAAAGAATCTCAATATTCCCGTTACTAAAAGGCACAAAAAGTAATTTACGTAAAGTAAGTAGGGTCAATCTAAAACTAAATACAAAATTCCGGGGCACAAATAGAAAGACAAAAAAGTATATTTATTTCCTTAAGAATTTTATTTTATTATTGCTGTAGGCTTCCCTCCACATCTATCCCAACATAAAATTCCCTCCTTCCCTCGTTTTCTGCTCTCTCCTTTTTTCTTCTTCCTCTTCCTCTTTCTCTCACTAAAACCCTCGTTTCCTTTAATCGCCGTCGCTTTTCTCTTCATCGGAATCTTCAAATTCGACTCTCCCTTCACTACGATCCATGTCCGGTCTCGTACGATCTTCTCCCGGTTCTTCTCATCCGCCACCGCCGCCGCCGCACCATCCGCCGTCATCTCCGGTTCCGGTTACATCTACGCCGGTTGTACCACCTATACGTCGTCACTTAGCTTTCGCCTCAACAAAACCGCCGTTTCATCCTTCGGATGATTACCATCGTTTTAACCCTTCTTCGCTCACTAATAATAACGATAGGAGCTTCGTTAATGCTTGTGGTGTTGTAGATCGGGAGGAAGATGCTGTCGTTGTTAGATCTCCTGTGAGTTTTGGGTGCTTTTGATTGTTCGATTTTGAGATTTTGCCAGTGAGATTGGTTTTCGAAATTCGAGGATGTTTTGGGATTTCGATTGCTACATTTTCGCTACTTGTTGCTGCTTAGTCTCATTTAAATGCTTCACAGCGTCAGATTTTCTTGGATTCATGCCAATTTTTGTCGTTAATTTAGCTTCGCGATGGTACATTTTCCTCATAATTTGTCTGACACTGCGTTTCAATAACACCCAATTGACGCAAATCGTGAAATCAGGCATCAATTTCTCCAGTTATTATGCCAAATTGGCTCTGATTGTGCAATTTTCTTCCCTGGGGTGTTGATTCTTCACATAGTGTTGAGCATTAGCTAATTGATATCAAAGTATTGGTGTAGGAAGCTTAACATTGTTTGTTATGTATAATGTTTCAAGTAGATCCCAATGTTGTGAAACTTTCTGATGAATAATATTTGATAATTGTGTGTTGATGCTTTAAAATCTTTTGGATGATATCTCTTTGACCAACTTCTTTCAAGTTAATAACAACTTGTTTATCTGCAGTCACGGAAGAGAAAGTCGACAATGGATATGGTTGTTGCTCCATCTAATAATGGATTCACAAGTTCTGGTTTCACTAGCATACCCAGCAGTCCCTGTCAAACTCCTGCAAAAGGGGGCAGAGTCAACATCAAGTCAAAGGCCAAAGGAAATAAGTCAACTCCCCAAACACCCATCTCGACGAACGCTGGTAAGAAGAATTGTAGATTACCGATTAACCTGCAGGATGTTCCTATCCTTTGTGTTCTTGACTGTCTACCCCTTTTGGCCTTTCTGTATAATTAGATCCTTATATGAAATATCTTTCATGTCTAGAGTTATAAGTAGGTCGAAGAGCTGACTCTTTTCCTGGTCAACTTGCAGGTTCTCCTGTGACACTTACTCCCTCAGGAAGTTGCCGTTATGACAGTTCTTTAGGTAAATATCAACTGTTTATATATATTTAATATTCTATACATGTTATAGTGTATACGAAGATGCTGACTTAAAGCTGTTCAGGTCTCCTTACAAAAAAGTTCGTCAATCTAATTAAACAAGCCAAAGATGGAATGCTGGACCTAAACAAAGCTGCAGAAACATTGGAGGTGCAGAAACGACGTATATATGATATTACAAACGTTTTGGAGGGGATAGATCTCATCGAAAAGCCTTTCAAGAATCGAATACTTTGGAAGTGAGGATTTTATTATATAGTGTGCTTATGTAGTTCATACCATATCTTTCTGTGTATCTGCTTCGTTGGGATATTCCTAAAATCACTTTACCACATGTAAACTCACTTGATGATCAACAAACTTGATTAGGGGAGTTGATGCGAGTCCTGGCGATGAGGATGCTGATGTATCTGTATTACAGGTGTAGTGAAACAGCATACACTCAAAAGTCGTTGTGCATGTAAAATCTTATTAAGCATGTAGGTTCTCGCTTCGTTTGATTAATGATCTTGTTTTGTCGTTGCAGGCAGAAATTGAAAACCTTGCCCTCGAAGAGCAAGCATTAGATAATCAAATCAGGTAAACATTCATTTAGAGAGTTTTGTGTTATTGTGATTAATCTACTCAACCAATGCTGACGCTTAACAACTTTTATTCAGACAAACAGAGGAAAGATTAAGGGACCTGAGCGAAAATGAAAAGAATCAGAAGTAAAAATCTCTGTCTATCTATCTTTTCGCATGGCTAGTTTGTTTCTGGCTATGAGATGTTGCTATTCTTATGATGGACACTTAACCAATCCGTTCACATTTTTCAGATGGCTTTTTGTAACTGAAGAGGATATCAAGAGTTTACCAGGTTTCCAGGTCTGTCTTTCCTATTTCATATGTTTAATTCTTGGGAATTTGCCAATTGATTGTATGTATATCGACCCCAAGACTTTCTTGTTCACTTATATCTTAACTCTCTCTTTGCTGATTCTGCAGAACCAGACTCTGATAGCCGTCAAAGCTCCTCATGGCACAACTTTGGAAGTGCCTGATCCAGATGAAGTTAGTCTCTTTCAGCAACTTTCGAAGACATCTGCTATTCTTTGTTAGATTCCAAAACGTTATGATAATGTTTCCTCTCTATTTGACAGGCGGTTGACCACCCCCAGAGGAGATACAGGATCATTCTTAGAAGTACAATGGGACCTATTGATGTATACCTCGTCAGGTATCTATGCCTTGAACATAGCAAAACAAAGATTTCTTGAATTGGAAAATTCACTGTCCCGTTTACACGCTTTTACTTTGACTTCATGTTCAGTGAATTTGAAGGGAAATTCGAAGACACAAATGGGAGTGTTGCAGCACCACCAGCATGCTTGCCTATTGCTTCTAGCTCAGGATCTACAGGACACCATGACATCGAAGCCTTAACTGTTGATAACACAGGAACTGCTATTGAGCATCAGGTGTCTCATGATCATCCTCATCCTCAACCCGGCGATACCTCTGATCTTAATTATTTGCAGGAGCAGGTAGGAGGAATGCTTAAGATTACTCCCTCTGACGTCGAAGTAAGCCATCTTCCTGTTTATTCTAAGATATTCTAGAAAACTATAAAATGAACAGAGAATTATGAAGTTGTGCACAGGAATTTATTAACATGACTTTCAAAATCTGTTCTTATAAATGTCGTCTGATATCGGTCTTATATTTTGCAGAATGATGAATCGGACTACTGGCTACTCTCAAGTGCTGAAATTAGCATGACAGATATTTGGAAAACCGACTGTATCCTTTGCATATATGCAAATTGTTTCTCTCTTAAATTAAATGTATCTATCTGCATATGATAAATACGCAATCCTTAACTCTAGCTAAAGCTGGTATTGATTGGGATTATGGAATAGCCGACGTGAGTACTCCACCACCAGGAATGGGCGAAATAGCACCAACAGCTGTTGACTCAACCCCGAGGTGATCCAATACCAAACACATCTTCTGATCCCAAATGTGTTACCTCACAACACTCCCAAAATCAAATACAAGGAGGGAGCAACTACAGAACGTGTATGAACCAATGGCAGGTGCGTTCCATACAATGTACCACCATTAGATTATGATTCATTTATTGCCTAGAGTGATGTTGTAGAGGAGCACCGGTTACAAGAAACTAATGTAAGTTTAACAGAGAATGTACTTCATCGGCTGCATTGGTACACTATTTGATTATAATATTTTTGACCATTCAAATGCATCTTCATAATCAGCTATATGATCTCGGTTAATCGAAAGAAGAACTGAAAAAACCCAAACTCAAATCAATATCCAGATTGATTGAACACCCTAGCCGGAAGTTCAAACCAAAACAAACACAAATATTCTCGCTGTATTAATACTTACTGCTTCAATTTACAAAAAACACAGAAAAAAAAATCAATCTGTTTTGCTTCAATTCAAAACTTTCATTCACTTTTCTTTCCCTATATATCTTTAAACAAATCGAAAAGGGTTCCTTTGTCGAGTCACGTATATGTACGTTTACGTTACTATGCCGCGGGCTGAGTTCTGGAGTTAGAACGTCGGAGCTTAGCTCGAGCATCGGTCAGGGGTGATCCCGGAATTGTATCGGGAATGTTGACTCCATCTTCACCGTTGAATGTCCCGGCTGAGTCTCGGCCTGGTGTTGGTGGTGGTGTTG